GCACTACGAACAAACTCAGTGCCGGTCACCGGTGACTCTCATGGTATTCAACGTGTTAATAATAGTCTAAAAAAGTTTGAATCGCAAGACAGACAAATTTTTTGATCAATTTAAAGTATATAAATTTAATTGACAAAATGAGTGTAAATGACAATTACAAAATGAGTGTAAATGACAATTACAAAATGAGTGTAAATTTATGAGTTATCAAATTTTAGAAAAGTCATATATTTAAACATTTAATTTCTTGAGAACTATCCGACCAATTACATTATTTTGCATTTTGTCATTTAATTATACACTTTAAAATGATATAAAAATTTGTACGCCTTACAATTCCAAAATTTTCTGACTATTCTTAACAAACAATATAATAAAGTAATTGTTACAAATTATTTTTTACACGGAGTTATCGTTGGATAAAAGAGTTTTATCATTGAATCAAAACAATTTTTGATTCGCTTAAAAAGTTTTTGAGGTGTAGCAAAATATGAAAGAAAGTGGAATAAACATTAAGGGCTTTAACTTTCGACTGCGTTTCTGACTTAACTATTGAGACCATATTTTCGGGATTGCGGCTACACCCTCTCCCTATAATTTGAAAATCAGAAATCCGAATTCGTTGAAAAAAGGGTATCTTTATTTCGAGAAAGTACGTTTTTGTGTCGGAATTCGTAATTAGACAAGTGCGGCATTGTCTCTAATGTACTTTTACACATTAAATCGAATGGGACAAAACCGTGGTCGGAAAGTTTATAAGTTACATAGGTACAATTAACAAAAACTACAATTTTTGACTTGTATCCAGTCATCTTGTAGTAAAAATAGTTTTATTTATCTTATTGTTAAACTCAAGGGAAAAAGCTATTTGGTAAACTCCTCTTGGTAAAGGTAAAAAGTAGCTTCACCTCGCACATCAGGTTTAAGCGGGTCTCGTTCAATTCATCTTAAAAAGTTCACAACGTTTTGCCACTTACATAGAAGAGGGTACTTGAGTTTACCAGTTTGAATTTTTTTTGTGGGGATATTTATATAAGACCCAATTTTTAATGTTCCACCTGAATCTAAACTGTGAATTAATTGCATTTCTGTTAATATTAAATTAGTTTTTGTTTTAAGAATTATTAATTAAATAAGATCTATTATAATGATACTTTACTTTTGCTGTAACTCCAGAAAGCACGGTCATGGTCATTTTCGTCCAAAAATTTTTTCTTCTTGTGGAATTTATAAACACGCAGAGATTTATCATTTAATTGTGCTGAAAAATATCAAACGCTATTTAATACTCCTATATTGTACGCGATGCTTGTCCACGCTTTTCTTTTTATTAAAACTAGCAAATTCCCTCTAGAATGAAATTTTCCCGATTCGTAGAGACGGATCTTCCTTTAAGAAATTGATGTAGTATTCCGAATTTCGTTTATATTTCTAGATTATAAATGCTGTTTTTTTCACTATACAGGGTGTTTATAAAGTCCCGAACCCATTTTGATATTTAAAAACTCATAAAATAATAAAGATATAGATTCAAATATTAACATAAATGGTTAGATAGACTTAAAAAGTTTCATGACCCTTGTCAATGAACTTGCACGTGTGCCCCCTTCGTCGCATGGAGAATATCATACGGGGTTTACGGAGATAGTCAATTTCACGCCAGATAGCGGTAAGTTCCAGGTATCCATAAAATCTGTGCTTTCTCTTGCGGTGTATGCATTCTCCTTAATATCCGCTCGAATAAAACATCGCATAGAAAAGTACTACATAGAACAAACACATCAAGAGTAAACATAACATTGCAATAGTTGCCAAAAACAAAAGAGAGAAAAATGCAATTAATAAGCAGACGATATTTAGACTGGAAAATGAAATTATCCGAAATTAACCACGCGCGCAGACGATATTTACAACAGTAAAGATATTCAAACCTGAAAAGGAAAATATATGAGTTATTCCATCAATAAATGCCATAAGTTTGTTTATATCTTCATTATTTTATGAGTTATTAAACATCAAAATGGGTCCGGGAATTTATAAACACCCTGTATATTTGTTACAAAGATTCGATAAAAATTATGTTGAACTTAACCCTAAATTTTTTTCTTCTTTAGTTTGAGTCCCTATAGTTTCCAGTCATCACCATCAGCAGTTGAAGTCATATATCACTCATATGATGCAATTCCTTTGGGGGCACTTCCATTGTTTGCTATATCATCGCCAGAATATCAAGAGCATGTGTCATCTGTGATCAATTCAGCTAATGAGGTGTACAAAGATTTTCTTCAGTCTGAAGAAGGAATGGGGTTCAGCGGTCAAGTAAGTGACTACTTCACATTGCAATGTTGTGTTTGTAATACATTAAAAAAATATATAGCCTCGTGAATAACTCTTGATTTAACAATCGGATTTTTACGAGGGAAGCTACAATCTTTTCCTTTCGTAGTTAGTACTAAATATTAATTAAATTTACAAAAAAAATAGACTCAATTTTCGCAGATTTTTTAAGATCAATTTATTTTTTATCTAATGATAATTCCGTGAAAAAATTATGATGATCGAAAAGTTATCAATGAACACAATTTTCACACGAAAAATTAACACAGCTTTCGCATTCACGTATGTATTTTTATTATCTAATCATAATTCGGTGCAAATATTATAATAATCGGAAAGTTATGAATGGACACTGTTTTCACATGAAAAATGGACGCAATTTTCGCATTCAAGGGTAAATTTTTTACTTATCTAATGATAATTTCGTTCAAAAATTATGATAATCGGAAAATTATGAATTATATGGTATGAAAAAAAATTACATTGTGTTGAATAAGTATTTTATAGATACATCAACCTAATAACTCCAGAGAAATAATAATTTAAAAGGTACCACTTTTTATGGAGATATTTTTTTTTACAATGTTAATTACCTGTCCACCGTTTTATTGCGCTCGTTTTATTAATTGTATATGAACTAGAATTCTATGAATGTATATTATCGTTTTCTTCTTTTTTTCTATGTATGGTTGTTAATCTATCTCTCTTGTAAACGACAAATTTGACGCACTAGAAAATCAGCTCTCCATTGAAAAATATATCCTGTTGGAACTAATAGCATCCTGTCTATGAAACATTGCGTACCAAATGAGAATGCAGATTTAATTAAATTGTCTTATCTTTATAAACTCAAAGATACAAATAGCGCATAGAAACATATAGAGAAAAACAATAATTTTGAAAAAAGTTAGGAAATCTTTGTGTCTTACAACAAAATATTTTTTTAAACGATATCGACCAAGTAACTATATCGAAATATTATCGCAGTGATACGCGTTTATTTCGTGGTAATTTTATTTGAAAAAAATCTTATTATTTTCCAATATTTTACAGGTATGATGTCTGAAGTATTTTAATTTTGAAGCAAATCTTTATTTCTTAAATAGTTACGAGTTAGTCACCATTTTTAGTATGATCTCATAACAAATATTTTTGAATTTTAAACAACTATTTCCCGTTCAAAACAGATAATGCGAAACTGGTGACTGCAGTTTTTCAAATCCTATTAAATTCATGAGCTTTTTCTGTTTGTATCCCTAATAAGAATAACAATAATTTTAAATCTATATTTTTTTCTCAAACGAATGAAAATCGAATTTTTTAACAAGCTGTAGAATCTCAAAGAATAACCTAAATAATAAATTCTTATTTGGGCTATAATAGCATATCTACTGGTTCAGCAACATCTAAGAAAATCTTTTTTTATCTTCCTAGATATTGTAATTTAATCACAAAAATACTGAAATATACGAAAAAAATACTTTATTTCAGTACACGCATATTTTTTAATATAATTTATTATTTCCAAATAATAACGGCGCAGAATTCAGTTGGATTGTTTACGTTAAATTACTTGAGATCCTCCGAAGTTTGTATATTCAATCTGTCGTTTAACGTGGCATTATTGCTCGAGAAGTCATAACTTTTGAGATTTCTATTAAATAAATGCCTGTCTTTGTTTTAAATTCGGAAAATTCATATAATTAAATCCAACTAGTTTGTTAAATTGAAAATATTACATTCTATTGAAATTTGTTTTTTAGGTAATTATTGTTGCGGACAGTGTAGCCTCCATGATGTCATACGATGCATTGTGTCGAAACGCGAAGTATGACGGACGTTATGGAAGTGAAACCAGCATCAACGATCCAGAAAGTGTACAAAACCTTTCTTCTCGCAACAATCCTTTGATATCTATTAGTGATGGTGGTTCTATAGATGACAGTCAAGATGTGCCGCCTGAATCGAAACCTCGGCAAAATAGCCAAGCTAGAATTTATCGCAAGTCACACTCTCATCCTCAAGAATCAGAGCCTCCTCAGTTCGAAAATGTCCAGTAAATATCCACGATATTGTTATTATTATAATTCCTCTTACCAAATAAAAGCAAATTTACTAAAATCTGAAGTACCCATCATTCTAACTTTCGAACGATTGCAGGGTATCTAGGTTGGGCGTTAGATCGTTTACAGCATAGCCTGGTGGAGACCTGCAAAGTTAGAGTTTTTAGCTTGAAAACGGTATGAAATAGATATGGGGAAAAAGATAATTATAAAATTGTTGAGCATCATCGATTTAGTATGAATAAGTACTTTGTGGAATTTATGCCAAGGAAATAAAACTCTAAAACACGCTCTTATTTGTTCGGAATTTCCTACTTTGTGATTTCAAACGATTTAAAGAAAAATAAAGTTATGACAAAATGTTCTTATTTTCAAACTTTGTTTATTGAAAATAAATTCATCTTGTGAAAATTAGTTATCTCTTTTATTTTGTCACATCACAGTTTAGGATATGCCAATTTTAAGCATTATCTTTTTTAACATTATTGTTCACAATAATTGATAATACTCTACAGCATAATTAACTTTTCTCCTTATCTATTTCTGAACGCTTTCGAGATTGAAATGTTGTTTTGGTGCTGTAAGCGGTCTAATCATGTAGTACACATTCATTATACTATACCTAGATATTACTTACATTAATATAGGGTAGCAGCTTTTCGAAAGTATAGAGGGTGATGGGGTGGGTACCTTTACACTATATATATTTCTGAATTAAGAATTGACAAACATTCTTAATTCAAATATACATAAGAATTATACACGAGAACTAGATATACAGAATAAACTCAAAC